ATCACCCAGATTTACCCCTGTGGTGAATGTGGCAATTGACCATATGGGCAGGAGGAAAGCGGCTAATGGCCTTAGCAGTCGATGCCGCTGTGGGCTTAAAAAAAAAAAAAAATAATAATAATAATAATAATAATAATAATAATAATAATAATAATAATAATAATAATAATAATAATAATATCCCTGTTTCCTGATATAAAATGCTTGACGGATACGCTGATTATCTTGGTTTATGAAAAATGGCTTCTAAAACAGTTCCTTTGTGCTGTATCCAGGTCAGAAATATATGTCCTGCAGGTGGCACCCCATGCCGTCATGCCATATATTATATGGGTTTCAATTGAGGCATGGTACAGTATTCCCAGGCAACTTTCTACCTACCAAGAATGTTTAGTATTTCCAACAATAATATATGCACCTGAACTGAGAATACTCTCGAAGGTCTCACGGTCAGAATTCGACAGTTTTTGGTGCTGCATCTAGGTTAGAAATATATGTCTAGCAGGTGGCACCAAAGCCTTTCATGCCATATATTATATGGGTTTCAATTATGGTATGGTACAATATTCGCAGCCGACTTTCTAGGAAGAATGCTTAGTATTTCTAATCTATGCACCTGCACCTCAGATATCCGAAGTTCTCCCGGGTAGAATTCGATACGGAAAAAGAAAGTGTGTGAATGTCTTACCGGTCAGAGTAACCTTCAGGTGAAGAAAGGGCGTACCAAAGCAGGAGGGGGTACTTTGGTTACACACCTCGAAAAAGTCAGTATGGCTACCTTCAGTATGATCAAAGAAGGTACAGAAAGAAGAAGATAAGATGTCCAAGAAAATCGAGATACCTGGAAAAATTAACGTAAGTAGAAAAGTATTAATCGCCTAAGATCAGCCTTCTGCTTCACTTTTTTTCTTGAGCATAATTAATGTAAGAATAAAAAACATGTAATGTCAGTTAACACGTATTCGTTACAAAAGCATTTGCTGCTGATCAGGTAGCATTTTATTTAATTTTTCCTGAATTTGAGTAATAAATTACTTTTTTTAAATTGTGGTCTAAAAAAGTATACGATTGTATTGTAAATATATGTGTTCTGAAATAGTGAATGCATTGATACTAAAGCTTTAAATTTCGAGAATTTCAGAAAATATTTGAAAAGATCATTTTCGAGCAATCGTGACATACATTTTACTCTCATTTCTGCTTATAACATATGCATTAACGTCATTCTATACGTATGTATAATCTTATGCTTTTATCCAGTCATGATTTATTTTACTGAATCAATTCATTTTTGTTATATCTTCTGCATTTTTAGTAGTATATATTGCTTTTATTGTTTATTCTGTAGATAGACATTTCACGGATTAAGTAGTGGAATAGCTTATGCTAAGCTTTGTCCAGTAAAGACTTTATTCTTATTATTATTATTATTATTCGTTTTTTGTTGGTCTTTCACCGTTACACACGGGGTATGTACACAACAGTGGAAGAATTCACCTCAGCCTAGTATTATTATTATTATTATTATTATTATTATTATTATTATTATTATTATTATTATTATTATTATTTTTATTCATGACTCATGCATCAGTTACAATGCTTTTGATGGCTCTATTCAAATCTTTATATCTCATAATAATGTCATGCATATTTCCTCTACGTATGAATTAGGTCTCTAAATATGTGTTTGTAGCCGGTAGTGGGGAGTATGCCTGTCTTCGAGTCGAAGCCCTTGAAAGTGGTGAAGCGAAAATCGGAGATATTAACTGATTTGTCGCATAAGCAAAAAATGATACAGTTTATGAAAAATTCCGTCGCCGACGGAAAAGTAAGGTATTCGCCATATGCGACAAAACCGCGACGACTACGGTGAACGTTTGTTTCTTTTGAGGATCGTCGCCTCCAGCTCCGACTTCATTTAATGGAAAGGAGTCTGCTTCTTCTTTGCATGACAAGGATGAATACAAATTTAGTTCCTCTACGGAAGTGACATTATCATAAAAAATTTCAGTTGCAAATGGGTCAGAACCTGCAGTTCCCACGCAACTGAAGTCACTGGAAATAATGACATCTCGGGGATCCGAAGTAAGTTTGGCAAATCCGCATTAAGCGAGGGAGAAAAGGTCAATGACTTCAGTTGTTCAAGAACAAGAGCCGGTAATTGCTGTTGTTGTCGGAGTCGGAGTCTGATTCACCGTCATCGCCTTTAACGAAGTCAATGGGGTTACCAACATCGCGGGAGTCCTGCCGCAATGAAAGAAACTGCAGTGGCAACAGTAGCAGCAGTTCCAGTAGTTCTGCAACCTAGAGCGAGTGGGTGTATGAACCTCCTGCCGTGCTGGAACTGCCACTGTTGGTATAACTTCGCGCACGCAAGCTGTCTTTTTCTTGATCGTTTTCTTCATTTCGCCTTACGTCTCCCTTCCCGGATCAAGCGGATTAGGAGTTCGGTTTCTACTCAGGATGTCCCTGGACATTCTGACGATGTTGTGGCATTTATCCTTTGCGTGGATCATTTCTTGTGCCATATTCTCCGGTGTTAATAGCGCTCCGAGCTTGGTCTGGGCTTTTACTATTTATACCTCCCACTTAGGACAGTGGAAAAAGACGTGCTGAGGAATCTCCTCCAACATACAAGTTAAGCACTCGTCATCAGTGATATGACCCATTCTCGTCCTGTAACTACAGAATGACCCATGCCCAGTTAATGCCTGGGTAAGAGTTCAATTGGCGATGATTGTACTCCGCCCAGACACCTATCACTGGTATCAGCAGTTTCATCCTCTGTGCATGTCAGTTGATTGGTCCCACTCAGATTGCCACTCGATCCTTCTGTTCTTGGCTGGTGTCCTGTCGCCTTGGTATACCTGTGCCCTCTGTTTGGATATCAAATGGAGGGCATAGGAAGGTATTACGGTGATGACCTGAAGTGCTAGACACCTTCAGCAGCTCCTTTCTCTGTGCGGCATCGAGCTTTGCTTGATATTTTTTGTACGTCAGGGCCTTCTGCTAAGCGGTTACTGCATACAGGATTATTGACTGCACTACCCCGTACAACATTTTCCGTCGCTCACTGCTTGGACCACAAGTGTTAAGCATTATTCATGCTAGCTTGGCCGAAAATTTGTCTGCCTTGTTGGTTACCCTTTGTATCTGCGACCTGAAGGTGCTCTCTTTGTCTATTGTAACTCCTAGGTAGACTAGTGAGTTAGAAGGAACAACCTGAGTGCCCCCAAGCATGAAGCGCACCTGGTTCTTATCCTGTCTGAATCATTTGACAATTACCGTATATTATACTTCGGCGTCCAGTCCAAAGATGTTTATT